CCCCTGCGCATTGTGTGGGTGGGGCCGAGAGGGCGTGGCGCTGTGCAGAAAGGGTTGGACCCGGCAGCCTACAAGGGAATGTGGAGGGCGCCCCGTAGTTATGCACGATGCTGCCTGTTAGAGTGGAGTTGGTCTTAAGCTCGCTTGACGTCCTGCTGTAAGGAAGGCTGGTGTGCCGGCAGTAGCACGATGCGATGTATTTACCTCTTCCCTCACTGGCTTGGCTCTGGAAGCTTTCATTTCTAACACTGGATCGTGAGAGTATTTGAACAATCCCTTAGTCCCTTAACACTACAGCCTCCAAAATGCCAGTTGTGTTTGAGGCGCGAACTCACCTTTTACTCATGGCCTGCCCACACTCAAATCTTTTGCTCTTTAGAAACATTCTCAAGAAACCAACATGTACTAATACAAATATATTTTAAAAAAAAACAATTCGAAAGCACTGCATTTTGACTGTCTTTGCATTCTGAGACAGGCTGTGCCTTCTTCAATCATCTAGCTGGGTTTGAATGCTTACCAGCCTTCACTAGGTTACCTAAAGCCTGCTAGGTACAAAGAACCTGAGAACGTTTTTAGGAACCAAGTTGAATTAATAGCAATAAAAATTCAGAATGTAGGGCTGGGGATTTAGCTCAGTGGTTCCATTGCCAGCCTTGCAAACAAGGTCCCGAGTTCAAACCTTAGTACCAAAAAAAATTTTTTTCTCAGAATACCATTCGTGTTAATCCATTTACCTAAAAGAAAGCCTGGATTCTTAGGGATCCGTTTTTCTCTTTGCTTCTCTATAATGCTGCACAGGGACACACACAGGTTGCTCAACAGTTGTCTGTGAATGAATGAACGGACGATCAAACAAAGAGCAACTTGGCTGCAGTTGCCTCGTAAAACTGCCACCAAAATACTGGTTATTCATTGTGTACAATCTGACCACTGTCATGTGTCTGTTATTGCTGTCTAATGTGCCAAAACAAGATGTACATTTAACAGATGCTCTTCTGGGCATCTTCTTACATTTATATTTTTAAGACCAATAGCTTCTTTGTAAGTGTTTCTTCCACGATCACTGAACATTTTCTGGAAGTGTTGCCTCTGTGTGAAATATTCTAACAGGGTTCAGGAGGCTGCTAGATTTAGTCTTTAGCTAGGACAGATGTGGTGAGTAATTTAAAAATTGGTTGAGATCTAAAAGGACTTTTCATCTTTGTTTTAACTTTTCTGACACCTTGGTTCACTTTATAGTTAGCAAGAAAGCAATTTTCCCCTTTGATGGCATGCTTCTCATTTTATCATGTAGCCACAGACCTCAATAACTAGTCCTTTCACTCAGCAAATGCTGACTGCCTGGCAGGAGCCAACCATTGTGCCTGGTACTAAGGATTCAAAGCCAAATGAAAACACTGTGGATCACTGGAGAAAATAAATCTGCTAATGAGTTGTTACAGTCAACTGTGGCATAGTATCCGGTGCTGGTTGTCTCTTGCAATATGAGAGAGACTGAGATTTACCCATGAAGCAGTGACATTTGGGTTGGATCCTGAAGGATAGAGGATTGCCAAAATGAGAAGGGTGAAAAGCCAGGGTAGAATGAGAGTTTGGCAAGTGCAAAATGCTATGTGGTATAAGTCAAGGCATTTCTGAAAGTGTTAAATGGACCATAGGCATGAGAATTGCTGTGCAAGAGCTAGTTTTTGACAGCCCCAGAGCTTGATCTTCCACGGGAGCCAGTGAAGTCAAGAGTTGCATTTAGGGAAGACTACTCTGTCAGTGTGAAGAATAGAAAAGACGGGATCTCAGGATCTTGTACAGATGACTTGTCCTTGAACTAGATTAATAATGTGGGGCTGGAGAGGCCTGGCTACATGTGAGAGTCATTTAAGAGGTAAATTTAATTTACTTGGTAACTAATTAGATGTCAGAGGAAGGTCTAAGCCAGTTCTGGGTTTTTCAGATTTGGCTATCAAGTGCATATGGTCAGAATGAGGCAGAAATATAGACAAGTTGAATCCATGGGTAAAATGTTAAGTTTGAGATGCTTGGAGGCTATTTGGGGGAAGGGTCAGAGTTTGAATTGCAAGGATTATTAGTTTTCAGGAAATAGACCAAAACAAAAGCATTCATTTGGGAATTAGATTATCTTTCTAATTTGAGTTACTTAACAGGCAGCAGTTTTGTGGATAACTATTTTCTTTGTCCGCCACAGCCTTCATAAACAAAAAAGAGAATGATGATAGTTTTCCTCAAGTTATAGAAGAGTCATGTAAGGACCAATATATCTTATTTTTTTGAAACTTAAAGTAAGACTTTTTTGTATCCAGTAGAATGCCAACAGAATATAATTCATAACCCACAGACTTGGGCCCTTGACATTCTCAAAGGTTTCATCCATGACCTTGCTGAGTCCTCAAGTTTATGAATGTCACCATGGTATATAATTTTCTCCACAAAATTTAAGAAACTGAAACTAGAAAATGTAAGGAGTCCTTTCAGACTCTTGATAGTTCTACAAATATGGGCCCAAGGTAATTTCTAAAGGCATTTAAATAAAATTTCCCATTAAAATAAACTCCTTACTTCATTACCTTGTGTCTTTATCTTATTAATTTCATCTTTCTCTGACTCTGCAAAGAAAAAAAAAATCAACCACGGTGTGAGAATTACTGTGTAGATGTCAATGAGGAGAGAAAAGCTAAACTGTGTTGGGGCAACAAATGCCAGGTGTTGGGTGTTCTCTACCCACTGGCTATGTGGCCGTGCTCTCTGGCCTCTAAGCAACCCATTCAGATTTGTATCTCTGCAAATGACCTCATAACAGGGACCTCTCAGGGCACTCATTGGAGGCCTTTATCATTCTTAAATATCCAGCTGGCGAATACCAATGCATTGCTGCATATAGCTCAGACAAAGTCCTCAGAAGTACAAGAGCTTCTCTGTGTAGCTCTTCTTTTTCTTCCTTTTTAGTTTCTGTGCCTAGATGGAACCCAGGGCCTCTTGCTTGCTGGGAAAGCCTGCAAGCCATGGAGCCATGCCTCTAACCCATTTAATTTCTGTCTTATCATAGTGAGTCTTCCAAGCCTCTAGAAGCATCACATACTTGCTTCTGCCAGCATCTTCTGTGCTGTTCCACAGTTGTTTGCTCATGCTGACTTCCCCCCAGTAGGCCTTTCCCTCCTTAGGAGAATGAGCCATCATGCCCTGGTGCCCAATATCCTGCCTGGCCCCGAAGAACTGCTCAATAAACATTGGACTAACTAAAGTATTCTCAGGAATCTGATAAAGCTTTATTCCCCATGCCTTGCCTGTAAGCTTTGTAAGTTGTTTAATTGCCTACAATAAGCATGCATTTTTATCCCAACTCTTCTGTACTGTATTTCTTTCTCTTCTCACTCTTTTTTCTCAGTGTGCCTCCCTAATGTTAAGTGGTGCCTTTTGCCTTTGATCACTGTGTGTAATCGGAAGAACTATGAGTCTAGGCACCAAGAATTGGGAAAGCTCCAATGACAAGACCTTGATGATCATTCTTTATGAATAACTTCATTGGAGTTTATTCGCGGGTTGCAGCACAAATGCTCCTTTGTACTTTGAGCTTTTGATGTTCTTGGGCATGACAGAACTCCTCAGTTCCCCAAGCCAGGGCCCTACAGCAGGCTCTCCAGGGTACTGGCCCCAGCTCCTCGGGCACAATCTGCTCCCTCAGCTGCAGATGACCCTGCACTCCATCCTTTCAGAAGAGGGTGATCTCTGACTTTATTTTTCCTATTGATTGACTCATTACTCAATTTGTCAAGTGTGCTTTTTAGAAATGCTGGGTTACAAGGGCCTATTTTCTTGTTAACCTTGGCAAGGAATTTCAGACACTGTAGAACAGAGTATGAAGGCTTGAGGAACTACCTCTGAAACTTAAACACAGAGAGATTTTGAACAAAGTTAGAGACCTGAAGACAGGCAGGAGGTTAAGTGATCCTTCAAGCTCCAAGAGTACAAAATGAAAGGCACTCCTTTTTGGTTGGGAATTGCACTGATCACCATGATTTCTTTTCCAGGCTAAGAAGCTCAGCATGGTATGGGCCACGGCAATGGACT